TTGGTTCGTTAGCATCTGTGCGAGGGGCTGGAGCAGGGTCAGCACCTGGGTTCAGCTTGTTTGGTGTCACAGACGTGTCGCTTTGAACTCGGGAGACCAGCAGGGTTTGTTTTCTTTCTTTAAAAAATAAATGTGGTTGAAGTCATAGAATCACAGAACGGTTTGGATTGGAAGGGACCATAAGGACCGTCTCATTCCCACTCCCTGCCACAGGCAGGGACACCTTCCACTAGCCCAGGTTGCTCCAAGTCCCATCCAGCCTGGCCTTGGACGCTTCCAGGGATGAGGCAGCCACAGCTTCTCTGGGCAACCTGTGCCAGGGCCTCACCACCCTCACAGTTGGGGTCATCCTGAGGTGTGCAAGATGCAGAGGTTGGGGAGCACTGGTTTAGTTTTGCTTTGTCCAAAAGGACCCTGAACTTCTCTGTGCCCACAGTGCCTCTGCTTTGGCCGTGCCCACTGCTTTGGTCTCCCTGCTCACCTGCCGGGACAGGTCAGCACAGATACACCCCTCGAGTCAGCTCTGTGGTCAGGGCAGCCAGCCAAAGCTGAAGCTGTCCTGATTGTATCTCTTGTTTCAGGTGAACGCTGTGCAGACCCACAGGTACAGGCTGACTTAAGGAAATGGTTTCTGAGGATAACTTGAATTTCAGTATGTGCATAGCGTTTTTCAGAAGGCTTGGGAACTTTGTAGGGTTCCATTGCCTGTTGACAAGTTTGACAGAGCTAGAGCTGTATTTGCCATTATTTCTTGCTTTGCAAAATGGGTTGTGATGGGTGTTTGGGTGGTGATGGGTGTGAGTACTTGATGACCCTAAGCTGATCTGGGCACAGAAATCTTCCTCAGGAGGAAGCAGGGGAGAGGAGCCATGGCAGCACAGGGGGTGTGGAAACGGGGACACCGGGGTTGCTGGAAATTCAAGAGAGGGCTTGAGTGATTCTGACAAGTGGTGCAAGGCATTGTCTCACCTATTGCTAAAGAACTGCTGTCTTCCTGGAGAGGAAAGCTGCTCGGAATGTCTAGGCCCTGGTCCTTGCTGGCATGCACTGTTGAGAAAGGCTGGGTGCTCTTGGGGCAGTTGGCATCCATCCTCCCGGCCAGTCCTGCTCCTGGGTTTTGTTCCCCATGCCATACTGTAGTGCTAGACCTGCCTTAGACGTGGTGCTTTGTCTCTGAAACTTCTTCACTCAGCCGTGGCTTGGTGTGAATTGACTGTCCCGAGCTGTCGAGCATCGTGCAGGGGTTTCAGTGCACGGAGCAGGAGCTCCAGCCCTGCCCAGCCTCCCCGCAGCCCTGCCCGCTGTCTGTGTGACTTGGCAGGTGTCCCGTGGCCGTGGGAGGCAATGTTTGTCTGCCCAGGCATCATGCACCGAGGCAGTATTTTTTTTCCCTTTAACATTAATGTTTCTGAGGGAGTTTTGCAAAAGCCGTGCCCTTTCACATACTTACAGGTTTTCGGTGTTAAAGGTGTTTAATTTCTTGGCTTTGTGCTGCTGCTTTTATGATTAACTGATCTTGTGTTTAGTTGCGTATCTCTAACTTGTTGAATAATCATGAGGACCTTTGTCCCAGATTTCCGTAGCCAATCTGGGAGGGGGAAGGGGATCTTTTTTTTTTTTTTCAAGAAAGCTTTTTGCTGAATCTCTCATGACTTTAGAGGAACCTTGTTTATGGTTTTGCTTTTCGGGGGAGACTTAAAACATTCAGTTCTCTCCCACTTGAAGAGAGGCTTTCTTTTCTCACACAGACTAACAACAGAAGGTTGTTATTAGCCAGTCCTCAGTATTTATCCAGCTCCAGTGTAACAAAATCCCTTTCTGTCTTTTGCTTTTTGAAATGCTGTGGCTCAGGGGATAAGAAAAGCTTTACTTTGGCTCAAGAAGCCATCTGTGTCATTCTGATTCCTCCATAAGTCCCATAAAAAAAGAATGTAGGAGTAGTAAAAGTTCATACATGGCAGTAAGAGTACTAAAGCCAGGAGCAACTAAGGTAAAAGGCCAACTTCTGCCAGTCATGGCTGTTATGGGGCTACACAGAATAACTGGGAATAGAATTGAGCAGTGGAGTTCAGAGCATGAGTGCACTAGAAATATGATATAATGGGAAGGCGTTAGATGATACAGCAGTCACAACACTTCACAGGGGAGTAGTTCTTACACAGTGAACCCTAAACAGACACCGAGTTTTGCATACACACATTCATCCTCAACTCCTGAAAATGTGTCACATTGTTCATCAGTTGAAATCAGCTCAGTGCAGGTGGCACGCAGCCAGAGCTGGATGCTTTGTGTCTGTTTTGCTGTTGACAGGCTCTAGGGACTGTTGGCTCTTGCAGGGGAAGGGTGCCCGTGGTGGGAATTGCGGGGTGTGCAGAGGCTGGTGCAGGGCTGGCACTCCGGGCTGGCACTCCCTCTGCATGGCTGCGCAGGGACAGCCTGGGGCAGACAGAGGCTGCCAGCCCCTGCTCCCCCAGGATTCCAGTGCCCCGTTGTGCTGTTGGACCCCAGTCCCTGGAGGTCAGTGGGTTATGCCAGACCCTCAGGAAGCAAGGGGAGGCCACAGCAGTGTCATCTGGAAGGACTCAAATGGGCTCTGTGGCATAGCTGGTGAATAGAGGTATGGATGCTCACTCTCTGTTGGAAGGCAGAGGGATGTATTGTTTTGTTTTACCAAAATAAAAACAGAGGCCCATGCTAGACACTGTAATTTACAGAGTCACAGAATCACAGAATGGTTTGGGTTGGGAGGGACCTTAGGGATGACCTGATTCCAGCCCCTGTGCCTGGGCTGGGACACACTCACGAGCCCAGGCTGTTGCAGGAGCAGAGCCAGCAGCTCAAGTGCAAATCATGCCCATGTCATCCAGGTCCAGCTCTCACCCAACTCTTCATTAACATCAGTCATCTCCATTGTTTCTCACCTTGTAAAATAGGTGCTTTCTCTTCATAGTTGTAGGTTAAGATCTCACTGTTTTTCTGGCTGAAGTTCATATTGATGACTTCTCATCCCCTGGAGTTAATAAAGCTATGGTGATTGGCAGGTACAAAATCTTAGTGTAACTAGTCTTGTCAGAAGAAGGGAAAAAAGTCTAGTTTTCATTTAATAAGTAAATGTGAAAGTCTCACAGATCTTTTAAGGTATTTCTAAAATGCTGTGGTTTTCAAGGTGTGATTTAAGAAGCACATCATGCAGGAATGTTCAGAATTGTACAAAGTACAGATGTTTCTGACCTTGCAACATAAAATAAGATTAGTATTGTTAAAGAATGATAGGCCTGTGGTTGATGATGTTAAATGGAAACAGTGCTCTTTCAGTGGTACCATGGACAATTAGTGACAGGGTAGTGTTCCCTTCGTGTCATCTCTACTTGTAGATTTGAACTCAGCTCAGGTTTCTCAGTTGTTGATGTCACTGCCCCGTTTCCTTTTTCTCCAGCCATCTAAAAAACGTGTTGTATGGGGAACAGTTCAGTTTCTGCACTGGAATTATAAAATATTTGGCAATTTCCTTCCTGTTCGATGCAAGTTTTATCTCTGTAAAAATTTAAAACAACTACAGGGGGGAAAATTAAGCAGAACGTGTATTTTGTAGATACAGACTTCTGTTTACTTCAGATAATAAGCTTTAATGTAACATCTAGAGCTTCTAAGTATTTGAAATATACAAATGTTTTTTGAGAGGAAAGGGTGTTTAATAACACTCACAGCTCTCAAGTAAGCAGAGAATATTTATATGGATACAAACAAGACCAGATTCTGAATCAAAGGTTGTTAAGTACTTGGTTGTGAGACTGAGATTTTTTTGAAGAACCTGCTTCTACTTGCTGAGAGAAGCGAGTGGAAGGAGAGAGTACAGGATATTGGCTTAGCTTCAAAAATTCTTGCTAACATGTTGATTTTTAAAAAGAAAATATTAATACATGGGACTACCCACTTAATTCTTCACTCATGTGTGTTACTCTCAGCAGGACAGGAAAACAGTTTAAAAAAATAAAGGAGTGGGAAGGCATGATATCTTGTAGCTGTAAAAATTCCTTTTCCTATAAGGCCTTTCCTTTTAGGACAGGAGTGTAATCAAGTGAGGCTCTTGAAGCTTTTGTACTTGCCATAGCCTAGCTTTGTTTAGGGTTCTTATAGTGGCATTAGGAAAGTTGAATGTTCCTGTGGTGGAGCAGTTCTCTATACTGAGAAACATCCTTTCTTCAAGTAAGGTCCTTCTTTATCTTTCCAAGCATATTTGGTAGTGGTGTGTGTTTGGTATATACTGTAATGCAACAACTTCTGATGTTTTGGAGAGCTACCCTATAACTAGACTTGCAATTTGCATATTACAGTGCATTAAAAATATTGGGTAAAATTTATGCTTAAATAGCATAGGCAGTTTTATGCTTAGGTAGGATAGGCATCTTGATATCAGCAGTTAAGATTTGATTATTTTCTGTTTAGCCATCTCTTTTGGGATGGTATATTTGCAGTGGGAGTGAAGCAGGATATGGGATCTGCACTGAGGTCTCGATGAGTGGCACAGTGGGATTTACTGTCAGTAATTCATGAAGTGCCAGCTCTCCTGTCGAAGTGCAAAAATCACAAAACATCAGCCCAAAATAGCTCCAGTCTGAGGAAGAAAAGTTTAAACTGCAACAGAGGATGTCCCAGAGCTGTGCCAAAGCAGAGTGGGGATGCTCAGTGCTGCTGGGTGCCCGTGTGGAGCAGCTCGATGCTTCCCCACGGCAGCAGCTGCTCTTTGGAAGTGGAATGTTGTCCTCCTGTTTGGAGCCCAGACACCTTGCTGAGGTTAACCTTAGCTTCTTCCCTGGGGCAAAGGCTGTTACAGCTGGCAGGCCAGTTCAAAGGATACTGAGAAGTGAAAAGAGCACGTGATTTTAGAGCACTGGGTCACAGTGTGCTGTGTCCAAACAGCACTGCCAGCAGCAGGGATTAATCAGGAACCACTCCGGGGATGCTCCCTCTGTGCCACGCTGGGCTCCACCAGTGATGTGTCAGTGACTTCCTCTTGGACAATGGGCACCTGAGGGAAGGGGATGGTTGCAGAGTGGTTCTGGCAGGCTGATGCTGTCATCACTGGTAAGCAATGTAGTAGACCTTGTTGGTGAGTCATTACAAAGTTGAAGACGTCAACATTTATTTACTGGGGCAAAGGGTAACAGACCTTAAAATCCTTTTGCCCTAATTGTTGTGGAGTGTGAATAACTGAGATTGCACAACTAAAGTAATTCTCCTTTGGAAATTTGATGTTGAAGATAACTCTGGTGCCTGGTTTAAGTGATCTTCAGCATAACAGCTCCTCACACTGTCCCAGAGGGGACAGAAAAACAAGCTGGTAATCATTGCCACGTTTGAATGCCCAGTATGTTTGCACCTGCCAGTGCAAGAAGCTTTTGGCAGAACTGTGCTAAACATTTTAATACCATGACCTTTCCCAGGAAAGGTCTCCACCTCAGTAGTCTGAAGGAAATGTTTGTTACAGGGCACAAACAAACATGTCAGTGCCTGGAAATTCAAGTGTTGTGCAAGCCTTGTGCCAAAGTACAGGGGGTAGGACAGATGAAAGGAGAGGGTGCACAGGCTGAGCAGCTGGAAAGGAATGACTTCTTTAGCAGTGATAGACTAATAACCAAGGTAGTTAGATTTTAGTTCTGTTATTGAGCATGTCTGACTCCAGTAGTTGATACAAAGGTGGCTTTTTGTGAGTAGGCGAGGCTTTATAAATGCAGGACTTGTATTTGTTGTATTTTTTTCCTGGTGTTATCATATGAAGGCATATGACAATCACTGGAACCTTTGGTCGGTATAAATTTGATAACAGTCATTTGCTGCATGTTTTTTCAAGTTGCCACATGTATTTTCCTGAAGCTTCCTGGCTGGTTTAGCCTCTGTAGTCATCACAGAATGGCTCAAACTTTCTTTAATCTATAATGAAGCACAGCTTTTGATAATAATACAGATTTAATTATAAAGGTTGATTACAGTTCTTGATCCACATGATATTGATAACTATGGTAAGTTCAGTTCCTTAACATGAGTAGGATACATTTGTTCTCACATAAGAAAGCCACAGTTCTGGAAGGCTCCTCTGTAATGATGCCTGGTGGGTGGGATCAGGCATTGTGGGATGTGCTGGCACTGTGTTGAATGCTGGCACCTGAGCTTCAGGTGCTGTGAGGCTGGAAAGGGTTGGGGAGCAAGGGCAAGGGTTAGGAAGCCTGATAGAAAGAGAATTTTTTTCAGACATGAAACCACAAGCAGATTTATCAATGGAGAGGTTAGGAAATTACTTGAATGCAGTTACAAATTGGAAAAGGTGCATTTTGACCTTAAAAATAACAATGATGTTATGTTATAAATTAGTGTAAGGGCTGGCAGCTGAAGTTCTACAAATGCCCATGAGAGTGCAGCCTGTGTGAATGGCCATAATTCATCTCTAGAGCAGTTCCCAGTTCTCTCTGAAAACTGGATGCTGTTCCATGACATAAGTGATGGCTCAGCTGTGTTTTGGTGCAGGGATCTGGGAGTGGAAGGCCATTGCTGGTGTTGTTCATCCTGTGCATAGTTTTTAGTGATCCTCCAGCCTTAAAACACAGACTAGGGTGTAGTTGTCGTGTGACTGTTGACAGGCTGAGGGCTGTGAGGTTCCTGGAGTCAGAGGTTTCGTGCTGAGGACACGGGGCTGGCAGGCAGTGAAACCCCCCCATTCCCACTGCAGGACCAGGGATGGGCTGGATGGGGGAGCTGGGACATGGAGCAGCTGCATTTCTTATGGAGCAAATCAAAGCACTGATGGGAGTTCCAGTACAAATTGAAAGAAACTATGCTTAATTATTTGTAATTGGGAGACAAGAAGGATTAATTTTTGGGGTCGGGGCAAATATTTTCATTTCAGCCTTTTTACTGCAGATTAAAACCTAAAAGTTTCCATCCCTAAAATATCAGATGAGGGGTGGGGCAGGACTGGGAGAGCTCTGGGAACTCCTCCAGTCACAGCATAGCTGTGAAGGAGGAGTGGAGGCATCCCTGCTGGGTTTTGTCCTTTCTTCTAATTTTTACACATTTTCCCCCCAGATAACCAAAATAAAACTAAGACTCTTTTAGTAATAACTCTTAGTGTAGATAGAAAAATAACACGAGTGGTGTTTCAAAAACATCAGACTGAAATGAGATTGGAAACCATTGCACTCTTCATTCAATAAATATTTTCTTTTGTTCCTCTTTTTTGTTTGTTTTTTTTCTGAAATCTTTGTTTGTTTGGTGTATGTTTCAATTTGTATTCAGAATTCTAGCTGATGTTAGTTAGGTTCCCAGTGAAGAGTGAACAGTCTCCTGTCTCTCAAAACCACATTAAAATGTAATAGAGGCTTTTTCTTTCTATATTCCTGTTTCTGTAGTTCAATTTCTCTTAAATTAGGAATGTGAGCTTTTAATGGAACATTGCTATATGCAGGGAATTACAATTCAATGGGATATTGGGAAGGAATTGTTCCCTGTGAGGGTGGGGAGGCCCTGGCACAGGTTGCCCAGAGAAGCTGTGGCTGCCCCATCCCTGGAAGTGTCCAAGGCCAGGTTGGACAGGGCTTGGAGCAACCTGGGCTGGTGGAAGGTGTCCCTGCCCATGGCAGGGGGTGGGATGGGATGAATTTTAAGGTCCCTTCCCACCCAAACCATTCTGTGATTCTGTTCTCACTCCTTCCAACACCAGCTCAGCCGAGACATTTAGGAGGGAGGGGAAATCCTGTTTATTGAAAGCCTTTCATATTGTCTCTCCCTGCAGTGGAATCTCGTGTGTGACAACGACTGGAAGGGACCCCTGAGCACCTCCCTGTTTTTCGTGGGTGTCCTGCTGGGATCGTTCGTATCAGGACAAGTCTCAGACAAGTAAAGTATATACACCAGAGCTGCTGGCTCTTTGTTTGAGTCTCGTTTGGAGACACTCCTTGTATGGCAAATTTCCTATAAGTGTCTTTCTGCAACTCCTAACGTGTCTGTCTAACCTGAGTCTACACAGAGTGTGTAGAGAAATGTCCTGAACTAGAACAAAATGTTACAAAGATTATTACTGGGTGTTACCTTTATCTGTTTGTTTTTGCAATGAAATCACTCTGGAGCAAACTGGTTTTATGTCAGAAAACAGGTGTAGGAGATAAGTTTTATCTGGAAAAATCAGATCAGTGACATTCTGTCCTATTTACTTTGGACTGTGTTCGGAGGGATACCTGAAGATTGTTTTCCTCTGTTTTTTTAAGTCAAATTTAAAACTTTTGTTTTATAAACACACATAGCTTCTTTTCCTCCGCATCAAATACATCATCTAAGTCCAATGATCTGCATTTGTGGAAGCTGCAAAGCATGAACGTTGTTCAGCTGCACTCCAGAGAAGCAAAGCTTTCTTGTTTATTAGTACAAACATTAAAAAAAGGAAGACAACATTAATTTTTGTGATGTTGACAATTGTTTGGTTTTTGGGTTTTTTTTTTGTAAAGCTTGGTTTTTCTTATTCTCTCCCTGGGATTTGCTGTGTAATGCAACGTGTGCTGTCTTCCTGATTCCCAGAGAACGATATGTGGTCCTTTCATTTGCTGATACTTTGTGGAGTTTTTGTTTCATTGAAACATAATCTTTATGCCACAAATCTTGTAGCATCATTTAAGGCCTTTGCATAGTTTCCTGCCCACCAGGTTTGACAAGTCTTGAGCTCAGAGGCAGGGATCCTTGAAAATCAGCCAGCCCTCCTGGACTTCTCTCCAGAGCTATATGCCGTGGGATTTTTCCAAGCAAATCCCTGGTCAGGCCAGTGTTTGCTCTCCCTGTGGTCCTGCCTTCTGCCTTGTTCTTCCCCTCAGGACCCTGCCCTTCCCCATGGCACAGCACAGCCATGGTGCTGCCAGCCTTCACATCCCCAGACAGTTCTGCCCTGTTTGCAAGCCTGAGGTCCAGCAGTGTGTCCCTTGGCCAGCTCCTCAGCCACGTGGTGGGACATTGGCACTGATGAGCTCCAGAAAGCTCCTGGGCCTTGTCCTTCTCTCTGTGCTGGAGTGGTTGAAGCCCCCCTGATGGCCAGTGCCTCTGGACACAAGGAGGTTTCACAGGACACAACAGCCCTGCCCTGTTGGCTTCCCTGCCAATCCCAACCCATAAGCTCAGCAAGCTGCTCATCCATCCCCAGGTCATCCATCCCCAGGCAGAGCTCTGTGCCTTCCAACTGCTCTCCCATATGAGGGGCAATTTCCCCCCTTCACTGTGGGGAAGTCTCCCACCACTCCATCCTGGCACTGCTTCCAGGCTCAGGAGCTTCATTCCCAGGAGCTCCTTGTCTGCTGCACGGATGCCGAGTGTGTCCCACGGTGACTGCCTGGCAGGGGAATCAGGACCTGTTCTCACAGTGACCCAGGAGCTTCCCACCCTCACACTCCCAGGAGTCTCCTTCTGCAGCTCCTTCTCGTGGTGACACAGATCCTCATGGATGCAGGAGAGGAGGCCATGGGCAGGGACCTCATGGCCAAGGGCTGCTCCTCTCCAGGAGGAGGATGCTCCAGGGAGGTGTGTGCAGTGTTCTGCTGCCCCCACCTGCTGCACACAGTCCTGCAGCCAGCCTGAGGCATGGAGAGGGACAGAATGCTTTGGGGAGTCTGTTCTTGGTGTGTTGTGACCCCCCTGAGCTCCTGGCACCAGCTGCAGAGCTCCAGGCTGGGTGGGGTTGTGTGACCCTGCCCTCAGCATGTCCTGCCCCAGTGCTGTGGGGCTGCCTGGGCCGGGTCATCAGCAGTGACTCTTGATGGGTTGAGTTTAGTCAAATTTCTTTTATCTTTGTTTATTTGGTTTTTTTCTTAATACTTCACTGATAGACCTTCCAGAGTCCCTCGGTTTGGTTCATGTTTAAACCAAGTGGAATGGAGATTGCAGCGTGGGATCACTGACAGCTAATAGCATCTTGCAAACCTGAGTTTTACCTCTCTTCCAGGAACTTTCCATCTTTTTTTTTTTTAACATGCTGATCTGTCATGGACTGTGTGCTTCTTGGAGCTTTGGATACTCTTGCATTTTAAATAATTTGCTCCTGCTGATTTGTCTCCTTGCCCATCCTATCAGTAAGAAAGGAATAGTGTTCCAGCACATAGTTTAAGGCAGCTTAATTAGCAGCCCTTGGAATATCACTTTCTCTTCGCCAGTGATTTTTTTTAATGTATTTAGAATAGCTGTACCTGTGTCACATTTCCTGAACCTCTGCTTTTTGCAGAAGTTTTGTATCTCCCTAACTGTGCTTATAAGTAAACTTACTTTTCTGTTTCTGAAGATTTCATTCGTGATGTTGTATAATCATCTTTTTTTTTTTCCCTTTTCTTTCTTTTTTTAATCTGTCCATGGAAGGTTTGGCAGGAAGAATGTGCTGTTTGCAACTCTGGCAATGCAGACTGGCTTCAGCTTCATACAGGTCTTCTCTACCAGCTGGGAGATGTTTTCAGTGTTGTTTTTGCTGGTTGGCATGGGACAGATATCTAACTACGTGGCAGCATTTGTTCTTGGTATGAAAGTCCTGCTGGGCACAGTATGTGTTCTTTCATCTTGTGCTTTTCCTGCTCCTTTTCAGTACTGGCTTAGGGTTGATTTGTTTTGCCAAGCAACACTGTTAAGAGTGTGGCCTCACCATGCATGGATAATTTGTCGTCTCCTTGAAAGTTTCCAGTTGATAGAAGTGGAATTTGAATTAATTCTATGGTTTATCGTTCTAAAAAAGTCAACCCCCCAGAAACTGATTATTTGAAACAAAGTCTATCTTCTAGTTGGAGAGATAAGACATGTGAGATGTGATTTTTGGGGGGTTGGAACTAGATGATCTTTAAGGTCTCTTTCAACCCACACCATTCTATGTGATTCTATGATTTTTCAGGGATTTCTTTTGTCAGTTTTGGGGCCTAAATACCTATTTGATTAAAAAACTTGCAAAAGAACAAAAATAAAGTATTTTTTATAAAGTCTCCTTTAAAAACAGCCTATAGTAAAAATGTAAATGTCATCATGATACTTACTTCATATACTCTCAAGTTGACTGAGACTATATTTGGTGATGGGAATTACCTTGTGAATGTGAGATTTTAAAAAAACAAATTAATGTTACTTACAGTGACCTCACTGTCCAAAGTACCAAATGGTGGCAAGAAATTCCTTTTGGGCCAAGGAAGGCAAGTTCAGGGGTGAAAGCAGTGCTTGGCTGACCTCACTGCACACAGCCTGCTGCAGCTGCTGGAATCTTCTTTGATTTCCATGGAAACAAGGAAGATTAGCTTTCTTTCTGTGTCTCTTGATTTGCAGGTCCCAAAACATTTCAGAGGGGGTCATCAACCCCTGTTTGTGCATTTAATTCCCCTGCCAGTAGCCTGGCCTTTGTTAGTGATCAACATGAATTCCATATGTGTCCCCCAAAAGACTGTGAGGTTTTTTTGGCTGTCTTTTAGAAGGTGATACAGGTTGGGAACTTCTGAATTATTCTTTAAAGAAGCTGGTCACTCTCCATAAGCTGTAGAGGATGCTGTGGTGATCAAGCTATGGTTTACTGTGGGTGGTTTCAGTTCCTCAAGTAAAACATGAGATTCTAAAAAGATAAAATTATAGAAATATGAGCTACAGAAATACAGTGTGGCCCAGTTCTCTTTGTTTTATACACAGAATTACCTCAGTTGATGCAGGATCACTGCATGAAGCAGCTCTTAAACCTGGATGGCAGAGCACTGTGCACTGCAGCTCTGCAGTGCAGTGCATTCCCAAGCCCATTGCTAGGGGTACTTTTGTTGGGTTATTTTGTTGCTATCAAGTTAAAATGCTATTCTTCCCTCTGCTGTTTTGAACAGGCACAGAAATTCTTGGCAAATCAATCCGTGTGTTGTTCTGCACCCTGGGGGTGTGCATATTTTATGCAATTGGCTACATGTTGCTGCCACTCTTCGCTTACTTCATCCGGGACTGGCGGATGCTGCTGCTGGCACTCACCCTGCCCGGGCTGCTCTGCATCCCTCTCTGGTGGTGAGTATCCCTAACTCACAACACTTCAGTCTGTAAGGCCCTGCCTGCAGATTTTTAGGATCCAAAGTCCAAGCCAGTGAAATTCAGGAATGGGTAGGTGAAGAATGGCTGTTGTGTCCTTTCCCCTCACAGTTGTTTTGCTGTCAGTCCATGGCTTTGTGTGTGATCTGGCTGATGCCCAAAAAGCCTGCTCTTCATTTTCTGTAGGCTTTTATAAAATTAAGTGCAAAGAAAACAAAAAAAAAGTCAATAAAACTCATCCTATGCACCAGCTGACATCCGTGGGCTGTGGTCTGAACTGAGGGCAGAAGCAGAAACCACTGTCTGGGAAGCTGAGCGTTGGTAGGGTGACACAGATATGACAAACTACACAACAGTACTTGCACATCTGTGAGACTTCCGTGTTTTCTTCCCTAGCTGATAAAATACTGCTTTTGGGTGGCATGTGAAGCTGCAGTAGTCCACATGGGGGTGGTGTTCCTTCACTTCCACTTGCGGTTGTGTTTGTGATCCCATCCAGGTTCTTACGCAGTTGAATGACTGGTGAATTCTGCTCTGACTTGCCTTTCTGTGACAGGATTTACAGTTACTAAGTTTATATGTGTTATTCTCTAAGGATATGCTTCTTAATGTACAGCGCGCTGCTTGTGTGTTCAGGTTTCTGAATTTCTTTAATTGAACTGTTTTCCCATACTTTGAATGTTTGGATTGCTCTTTTTTCTGAATCATTGCTAATTCCTTCAGCACTTCTGAAATCCATAAAGCCATGCTAGTCTGCTCTTGTTCAGTAGTCTAGTCTGCTCCTGTAAATCTGATTTCTGTTGTCACTGCACTAATTCCTGCAAGATGTGGCATGTTTTGAGATCAACAATGTGTGTGTTGGTGCCTGCAGCAATGCTTTGTGTGGAACTGCAGCCTTGATGTTCTGAACCTTCTCTGCAGGGTCATTCCAGAGTCTCCACGGTGGTTGATCTCCCAGGGAAGGTTTCAGGAGGCAGAAGACATCCTCAGAAAAGCTGCAAAAACTAATGGCGTTACAGCCCCAGATGTCATACTTGACCCTAGTGAGGTAAGATTCATTTAGCACTCCAGGTGTTTGCTGGACTCTGTGTAAAGGAAAGTGAGCTCAATGAACAGGTACTGTTTAAATGCAGAACTCCTGTCCATCTCTTTACTTTTTTAGGGGAAAAGTAATGCTGTGACCCAAAGATCTGTGCAAAACTTCATCAGTGGTGTGTTTATGCTGTTCTCGTGTCTGCTTTCTGCAGGGCAGGAAAGCAGGACACTCACAGCCCTCGAGGGTTTGGGAAGCATGTTTATGCTGCAGAGAGGTTCTCAGAATTCTGGCTGGCCCTTTGCCCTTGTGCATTTGGAACATGAGTTTGGGATGGAGGAGCAGCCCAGGCTCGTGTTTGGAGTGTTCCTCAAACCCCTGCAGCTGGAGTGCAGAATTCAGACTGCAGAGGTTTGAAACCATTGGGGTCCAGCAGGTGACTGGTCACAAACCAGCTGCAGAGCAGAAATGGGGCCTGGTTGGTTGAATTATCCCCTGTGAGAGGGATACAAGTGTTTGGATGATAGGTTTAATTTCAAACCACCATTTTGCCTTCCCTGCCCTGCTCATTGCTTCTTGTTCTAGCCTGTCCTGGTAAGGATTCTGTTGTCTGTTTATCCAGCTCTTAAAAGGCAGAGTCCCTTTTCCTCATCAACTGACTCCAAATTTTACTGTTCCTGGTTTTGTTTTGTGGTTTGCTTGAGGTTTCTCTCTTTTTTTTTTTTTTTTTGGGTGTTCTTGTTTCTTGGCAACAAATAGTGGCAAGATGGGAGAGTGCTTAGGATAGATCATGTGATTTATGAGAAAGGGCTGTGAGTGACTGCAGTTTGTGTGATGTAAATTTGATTTCAGGCAGAGTGAAAGCTATCAAAGGTAAAGAACTGTTTGCCTTTTGTAGAAAATGAGATTTACGAAAGCAAATACACTGAAATTTGCCACGTACCAGACTGCTACTTCATCCTCCAGATCTTCAGAACCGACTGTCACTTAGAGAAAATTTTCACCTGGCTGCAGGAGTTACACAAACTCCATGTTGCTTTATCAGAGTTGATGGAATTTGTCCTCTTAAATCCCCTTTTCCATATTCTGAAAAATCTCTTCCTTGGTCCCCCTTCTTAGGGGTCTAAATTAAAGTCCTAATTAAAAAAAATAAATTCTTCCCTTTTTTACAGTCTTACCAAGCACAAAAATTGTTCTCATGCTTCATGGATGAATATCCTTGCATTGTTTACATAGAAGTGGTTTTATGTTGAGGAGCTGGAAAGTTTAATGGGGAAAGGAGAAGTTTGTTGTCTTTTTGTTTATGTTCTTAGAAGATGACCTCAAAACCGGACTAGATAATGATGGGCACTCTTCAGCTCGTTAGCCAGTTTGTCTCAGTTTTAATACAGTGCTGTTAGGTCCAATATGAGGAGTCATTAACTATCTCTGTCCTGCTGTGGTTTAATCTTGTTATTTGTTGTAACATCTGCAGTAGACGTAGAGGACAGTTTATCACTTCATTTGCAGGTCTTTGAAGACCATTCTGTGCCCTTGGTCTTCTGGCCCTTAGGCTAAACACACCCTCTCCTTTTTTTTTGAATGTCTCACCATCCCCACTGCTCTCCTCTTGTCTGAGTGCAGTTCCTTTGCCGGATTCTCAAGGTGCAGTGCTCCAAACTGGACAAAAGAACCATGTCAGTAGTGACATATGAATCATGAATTAATGCTTTATAATTCAGCTAACAAAAAGCAGTTGCTTTGTGAAGCCCGAGGCAGAGAAATGATTGCTATACAATCCCAGGATCCCAGAATGTGCTGAGCTGGAAGGGACCCACAAGGATCACGGAGTCCAACCCTCAGCCCTGCACAGAACCATCCCCAAGAGTCACCCCTGTGCCCCAGAGGATCATCCAAACCCTCCTGGAGCTCTGGCAGCCTTGGGGCTGTGCCCACTGCCCTGGGGAGCCTGGGCAGTGCCAACCACCCTCTGGGGAAGAACCTTTTGCTGAGATCCAACCTGACCCTGCCCTGACACAGCTTCAATCCTGTTACTGGTCATGAGAGTGAAGAGTTTCAGTCCAAATTTTAAGTGACTTTGAATTAAGGAGGAGCTTCTGCTTTCACAGGCTCTTCCAGTTTATATGTGTTTTGTTAAAAGTGAGACATCTATTTCAGCATATCAGAATACTGAGGTATAAGTTGGGGAGGGACTTATTTTCATAATAATTATTTTTGCAGGAAGTTAAAGTTCCCATGTTTTGTTTGTTGTTTGCTTTTTTACAGCTGCAAGATGTGAATTCCCAGAAGCAACAGACATACACCATTTTGGATCTAATGAGAACCCGAAATATTTTAACTATCACTATTATGTCAGTGCTTATTTGGTAAGCAAGTGTGATTCAGGAGTATGTAACTTTAAACACTAAGGGATTGTGAAGAGATAGGGACAAAACCAGCTCAAAAATCAATGACTTGCTGGCTGAAACAACAAAGTTGTGGTTACATGGGTTCTTCACTTCAGTGACAGTGTAGAAACACATCTGGATTGTTGTTTCTTTCTGAAGTAGTCAGGCATATCCTGAACTGAGTGAGAATTGGATCAGCTGGCAGTGACGTGTGGGAATCCTGCCTGGTCCTGGGCCTCGGGGAATGCTCTTCTCACTGTAACAGAGTCTTCTAGAAGAATGAGTCATGCCCTACCCCCCCTCAGAGAACTTCTGCCCAGAGGTCTGAACATGGTGCTTTCCGTCTCTGTTGGTTCTTAAAGGGATAAAGCTGCCTCTGAAGTTCTAATCTGAGGTTTCCCTGGACTTTCCTGCTGTCTACTCTGTCTACCTGCCACCTTCAGCTTGGTTTTTACTAGCTGAAGCCATACTTCATGCTCAGTGGCATTAAATGGTGGTTATTTTCCTTTACTAGATATCTTGAAAGACAGAAAACAGAGAGATAACCTATAGGCTGCCAGAGGCTGTACAAGTGAGGTTTAATTACTGCATGTACCCAGTGACATAACCAAGAAGGTCCCTTGAGTGCTTTGGAGCCAACTTAAGTCTATTTGCTGCCTTTTTGAAGAACATTCCTGTGCTTTAATGAGGCAGAGCCTTGGAGTTCAGTCCACTGACCTGCCAGCACATACAAGTTGATGTGGCATTTTGGGTCAAAGGATGACTTGGCTAATATTTAAGCCAGATTCTCTGGCCCATCACCAAGCACAATGTCACAAACGCACCAAGAAAGGAACTTGTGCAAAAAAAACAGCTCAAGGAGAAAAATAATGTTGGTTCTTTGCAGAAATGTCAATACAGTGTCTATATAAATGTCCTGCCTCCAAGTCCAGTTGCTGACTCTCACCTTTAATTGAAAGTGAGACTGCCCTACTCCTAATCTGCTTGGAGCAGAGCAGTAGCCCCTGGGCACAGCCAGTTTTGCCTGTGTGGTTGTAGAAATCAAATGCAAAACCTGTTTGAACAGCATTTCTGGTAGGATGAAGCAGCTGAGAGGAGCAGTGACATGGCAGTGTGTATGTAATCCATTCTGCTGGATTCAGTAACCCAGGCTGAAGGGCTTTTTGCCACATGATAAATGAAGTTTTACGATAGGCAGGAAGAGTCAAACACGTGCAGCTGACTTGCACAATCTTACCTCCTCTCACAGACAAGTATTCACTTGGTCAGGCAATTTTTTTCATTATTCTAGCTTGTGTGTGAGTTACCTAACCTACTTTTAATTCTTTCCCAAAATACAAAGCATCTTGTGCTGGCTTACAGCACAACTCATGGTATACCAACAGTATATTCTGCATTATGAATTGATAGTGCTTACAAAAAAAGGTCTGTAAAAGAGGGTGGTTACAGACAGCACTATGTCACCTTTACATAGTACTGAGTGTTTTAGTAATTCTGAGTGAGTAACAGGCCTTTAAACTATTCCCTTTGCAGGGCTTGCACCAGGGAGGAGGAGGTTTGGCTCCTTGGCACCCTGGGCACTGAAGTTTTCCTACAGACTATATAACTGTGTCAGGGTTTGCCAGTGTGATAAACTAAGGCAAACTGCCACCAAAAAGGAATTCCAGCATCAAGTTTATTGTGTATAAGAATAATTCCAAGGAGAGCAGGGTGGGTGTGTTGCACAGTGGTGAGAAAAACACTGCAGAACTACTGAGAAAAATGGTTTTGAGGCAGGGCACCACAGCAGTGGGGTCACTCTGTGACCTCATACCTTCCCAGGCACACTAAGAGACTTTATTTTAAGCAATTGGACCACGAAGGCTCTTCCCATATGCAGTGAGGAGGAGGAGGAGGAGGAGGAGGAAGAGCACATCTTTTGTCCCTGACCCACTGTGCTGTGCAGTGGTTTTGCTCTGGGTGCTGAAGATGCTGAGGGAGATGAAGTACCAAGTGCTCTGTAGCTCACCTTTGCCCCTGCACATGTCCCCATCCAGCCTGTTCCTTGTTTACCACGTTACACTTGTTGGTGAAGCTTAACCTTCTCTTCCTAACATCTCCAAGACACAACAGGGTTTGTCTTCAAGGCCAGTTGTGTGTTTCCCCCAATCTCGTGGAAGCCAGCTCCCGTCTGGCAGTGGCACAGTTAAGATGTCAGTGTTCCAGCCACCAAGGTCTGTCCTGCTGCACTGACCAGCCCAGGCACCCAGCCATGCCTGCATGATTTGGATGCTGCCCAGCCAGCTTGGGGCATGGCAGGGAAAATCTCAGGATGCTGGGTCTGCCAGGATGCCACACTCCTCCTCTCTGATTTTATACACAAAGCATGGATGGTAATGACCCAGAAACAATGCTCTGCACAAAAACATATTTATATATATTGTTTTAGCTCTCTCTCTCTTGTTTCGGTTCTCTTGTTTGTTTTTTTCTCTTCTCCCTTGGTTTTGGGGGGGGGAGGTAGCTCTTGTGGTGAGGTTTGGAGACTTGGCAGGGAGCCAGCTTCAAACCACCTCAGGGACAAGTGAGCCGAGTCTGATCCCGTTACTCTTCCTTCCAGGATGATCATCTCCGTTGGCTATTTCGGGCTGTCTCTGGACACGCCCAACCTGCACGGGGACGTGTACGTGAACTGCTTCCTGTCGGCGGTGATCGAGGTGCCCGCCTACACCATCTCCTGGGTGCTGCTGCGCAGCCTGCCCCGCCGCTACTCCATGGCCGCCGCGCTCTTCCTGGGCGGCTGCGTCCTGCTCTTCATCCAGCTCGTGCCCGCACGTACGGAACCCTCAGTTCTTCTCACGTGTGTGGCAGGGGGTGCAGTGCTGGGCACACAGAATCAGAGAACCACAGAATCAGCTGGGTTGGAAGGGACCTCTGAGATCATCCAGTCCAGCCCTTGATCCAACCCCGCCGTGGTTCCCAGCCCATGGCACTGATGCCACATCCAGTCTGTCCTTGAACACCTCCAGGGATGGAGAATCCACCCCTTCCCTGGGCAGCCCATTCCAATGGCTGAGCACCCTCTCTGGAAAGAAATTCTTCCTAATCTCCAACCTAAACCTCCCCTGGCACAGCTGCAGACCCAGCCCTCTTGTCTTGCTGATGGTTGCCTGGGAAAAGAGACCAACCCCCCCTGGCTCCCCCCTCCTGTCAGGGAGTTGCAGAGAGTGAGGTCTCCCCTGAGCCTCCTCCTCTCCAGGCTGAACATGTGGAGGAGCAGTCTCCTGAGGGGACTCAGTACAGATATTCATGTCCCATCTTTGCCCCTCCTCCTTGGTCCTCAGTGCTGCTGCACGAGGAGCTCCCACAACATGTCATTCAGATACACTTTTAAAGGTGGGTCATTGGCTTTGTGGTCTGTTGGGATTAGTGTGGTAGTCCAGTTTTGCCTTTAAAGTACATCCCTGGCAGGGTGTCCTGGTAAGGTCCAGGTGTAAAACCAAGACTAGATCAACCAGAGTTTAGTCAGAGAGATTACCAAGAGGCTGCAGAACTCACTTCCCAAACTGCTGCCCATGACTTTAGGGCTTGTTTAGAGAGTTACATTCAATGGAGTCATTGTGGAAGCATTTTTGATAAGCAGAGATGCTTGTACTGAATTAGTGTTGACAGCTTAAATAATGTGTGGCAACTGGAAAGGAGAGCCAGGTAACATTTATTAGATCTCAAACCATATGTATCTTTAGATTAAAGGAGTTATGGAGTCAAAATAAGGGGAGTGTTGTTGCCTAGGACTTGTTTACAAATCAAAGAGTATACAAAAGAGAATGTGCAACAACTGCCTTGCTTATTTTATGTGTCCTGCATTCTCTTTTTTCCCTCCTGTTCTATGAGTCAATTGGACAACACTGATATAATCTGTTTTCATTTTCAAATCTAAATGTCCCAGTTAAAGTCAACCCAGCTTCCTATAATAAAGTATTGACTTGTAGCTAAGAATATTAATGAGAAACCAGAGCAGGAAACCAAAAATAACTTGTTTCAAATGTTTCATTTTGTTCATTTTATTAAGAAGGGATAAATGGCATTGTTTGCAATAGCAGAGATCTGGCCCTTGAAATCTGAAAGGGCCTCAACAGTTCTTGCTCTGTCCTCCTTATTTTTCACTTGGCAGGAAGCCCTGTGCTCAAAAGAAGATGAAAATGTTGATTCCTAGTAATTCACAGAAGAAAAAATTAAAAAAGAATATTGCTTATGTTTGTGGACATGTACAGGGAAAAAAAAAAACACCAGATCCTGGAGTTAATTAGGCAGGAGTTACACAAACATGAAGGAATGAAGGGATACCGTGAACTGCCAGAGCTTTATTAAGTCCTTACTCGTGTTGTGATTTCAGATCTCCGTGCTCTGTCTATTTTCCTGGTGATGGCAGGGAAGTTTGGCATCACATCAGCCTTTTCCATGGTCTATGTTTACACGGCTGAGCTCTACCCCACAGTGGTGAGGAACATGGGGGTTGGAGCGAGCTCCATGGCCTCCAGGCTGGGCAGCATCCTCTCCCCGTACTTCGTTTACCTCGGTGAGTGACCTGCTCTGCTCAGGAGAGGCTCTGGAGACTCACAGTGCTGTTTCCTCAGGAGGGACAGCTCCTACAGCTCCTGCTTCCCACTCCCTGGAGTTCCTCAGATCACATTGATAACAACATGCACTTTGGATGTCAGGCTGTGATGGGGGTTGCTTGGGCTGGCTTTTACTGAAAGCATAAATCTTGCATGGCTAAAGCCCTGTACCTTGGTACAGACATTCCCACAGAACCACAGGATGGTTTGGGTTGGAAGGGACCTTGAAGATCATCTTGTTCCACCCCCTGCCATGGGCAGGGACACCTTCCACTATCCCAGGTTGCTCCAAGCACTGTCCAGCCTGGCCTTGGACCCTTCCAGGGGTGGGGCAGCCACAGCTTTTTGGGCAATTATCAGAGACCTAGAGCTGATGCTGCCTTTTCCCTTTTCCTTTGTTGTGTTCTGCCAGGTGCCTACGATCGATTCCTGCCTTACATCCTGATGGGGAGCCTGACTGTGCTGTCAGGAATTCTGACACTGTTTCTGCCTGAAAGCTATGGGATGCCTCTTCCTGACACCATTGACCAAATGCTGTTGGTGAAAGGGTAAGGATCACCTTCTGACCTCGGCACTCTGCTCTGAGGAGTGCCCTTGCCTGGCTGTGGGCAGAGGGAGGGGCTGGTTTTGGCAGCACAGGCAGTGCTCTGTTGATACAAGAGCTTGCCTGGAATCCTGGTCCTGTTCCCAAGTGTGTATGTTTGTATGTGCATCTCTCAGCTCTGAATTTATCATTTTTCTCTGATAGCTTTTAAAAGTACGTCTGAGGAATGCACTTTAAAAGTATGTTGCTTTATCAAGGTTTAGGGACACATTGTGGGTTATAATCATTTTAGGTTCTGAAAGTCTTATAAGCTGGGGAAGAGCTGAACCCTTCCAATTTAATTCAGCTGACCTAAAAAGGCATTGTGTGTTTGGCCTTTCACCACAGCTCTGGTTGAAGATGACACATGAACACAGATGGGGTGTAAGAAAGGGACCTGCAGGATATTAAAATTAGGAAGCTGTAATGTCAAAACAGAAATCAGATTTTTTTTTTTCCCAATTCACTCGTCTATCTTTAAAGTTATTTTCTCTTTTCTTTCTTTTTCCCACCCCCCAGATTAGAATACAGGCCTGCCTCTGGTAGCACAAGGGATTCCAAGGAGGAAGAAGAGAATCCAGAGATCCTTAAAAGCACAGCTTTTTGATGGACTCCTGTGTACTTCCTGGTGGACTGAAAGTTAAATGGACTTTCCTTTTAAAATTCATTCTAGAAAGGGCTAGTGGCAACACTTTGTTTCCCGCAATTTTATCCTTATTTATTAATTTAAGCACTGTGTCCCGTACGTTCTCTTTTTGTATGAACAGAAATACTGCACAGCCTTCAAGGAGATTGTTCAGCCACAGTTGTGCTCATCAGCAGTGCCATGGAGCAGCACCTGGTCCATCCTGTGTAACTTTATGTGTACAGTTCAGCTGAGAGAGACTTGAGAAGGAGTTCAAGGGCTGGCAGGGTACCTGGGTTCCTCAGTGAACCTCCTCCAGAGCTAATGCACATCAAGAAGTAAAAATTGCCAGAAAAAGCTGCTCATTGCTTTTGATTCCTTGACTTCTGTCTCTGGACAGGAAACTTATTTATTATGGTGAAGGTTATGAGAATGTGCCTCTCTGTGATCTTACTCAAGTGACTTTGTATGTGCTGAATTTGTTACCAAATTCAGAAAGATGCAAAGAAAGATTTTTGAGAGTTAATTCTAACTTGATATGTTTTAACTCAGCACAGACTGAAAGGATTGTCTTGCACAAACTATGTAGCACTGAAGTTTTGCTCACAAAATTCACTTGATTCCAATGCTGGATTTCAACTGTACCTTCTTGGTGAAGTTGTTTACATCTGACCTTGGATGTGGCCTGTTTCCAGGCTGGATTTATTCTAAATAATGCAAAAGGTTTCACCTGTGTGTAGAGGGAGTGGTGTTAGTTTTTGTGGTGAAAGTTTTACGTGTAAATTGTTTTAATGTTCTCTGTGCAATTTGAATGATGGAAACTATTCTCCTGTCTTTATTCTGTGCTTTTCCCACTGGTGCATGTACACACACACAATTAATATATTTAGTCATAAATTTCTGTGTTAATTATGCCACTGCATTGACCTCATGGGGGAATGTACTGAGAGCAAAATTCAGAATATATTTCTGACCGCTGGTTCTCGGTCCTCAGTATCAACTGTATGATTGCTGTGAGGTCTGTTGTTGCACTTAACTTGTGTAATCAGTGAATTGCTTTAAAATTGTTTTAAAAAACCCCAACAAACCCACGAATCTTGTTGAAAATCTGCCAAGAAGTTGTGGCAGCGCCCTTGGCATTACCTGTGTTTCTGTAAATACACAATATACAGGTACACACAGTCTCACTTGTGCTGTGCTGGTTGTGTGGCAGATGTGAGTGGTGAAAGGTTTCTGTCTTGTGGCACTTGTATTTTGTTCTGTCTTAATAAACAGCCTAAACGTTTGTAGCCAAAGCTGTCGGGGGCCTTACTGTCCTGCAGCAGCTGTTGGGGAAGTTTTGCATTTTCCTGTGGTATTTAAATATGTAGGTGGCATTGGCTCATTCCAGTCTTTGATTAACCAATATCCCAAATCCTGTCCTTGGTGGGAGTGGTGTGTGCCTTGGACTGCTTATCACAGGAACAAGAAAGTAGAAAACACTGTCTAGACTATAGTGGTTTGGTTTGGTTAAATTCTCCCTGCCAGTATCTTGAGCTCCAGGATTTGCTCCACTTCTCCTGCATTTTTTCACCTCTTTATTTAGGATTTTGATTCCTGGATGCAGTAGGAAGCTGGCCAATGTTACTGGGTCAGAGAATCACGTGGAGGAAAATAATTTTGTTGTACGTGAACTTTTCCAAGGAAAGAAACGGAAAGGTTGGGGCAGGTTCAGTGTCACTCCTGTTTAGTAGGTTGACAAGCCCTGGGCAGGAGGTTTAAAATGCAGTGTGTGATTTGAGGCTAGTGCCAAAATTGAGAATCTGGATTTTACAAGCCTCACTGCCCATCACAGAACAGCCTTGACATGGGCAAATACATGTTAGGAGAGTGCATGACCTGTTCTGGCAGGCTTACACTTTTTTTTGAAATATTCACTGCAGACACAAAAGAGTATGTTGTCAAACTTGGTACAGATATTTTTCTTTGTAAACCTTGTCTAGGAACTGTAATGCTGAGAAGCAACTTCTTTTGTATGTGTTATAGAGTGGTCTGATGACCACAGGAATCTGAGGCAAAGCACATTTAGCTGCAACTTCCTTGTAATGAATTTGCCAAAGTAAACACCCGTGTCCCACAAGGCTCTTCCTGTAAACAGTTTCACAAAATATCCTGTAATGTCAGACATGTGCCTGCCTGATACACGTTTTAGTCTGGAAATTCCAGTGTCCAGTTAACATCTGATTTAGCTGTAATTTCTTACCCACTGTTCTATCCAAGTATGTGCCTTCAAAGAGAGACTTTTTTCCTTGAATATTTAAATATTCTGATGTTGACTAAAGTTCTTTGTGGGGGTTTTTGTTGTTATTGTTAGTTTGGTTTGTTTTTCTAACTCCAGACAAATTGGGGAATTTCCCATTAGTCATGACTAATAGTACAGAACTCAATGGCAATTGCTTTGTGTCAAAAAAAAGAGGGTTTTTCTCTTGCTTATGTTTTTAAAAACGTGAAGTCTGAGTCAGAAATGTAGAACATATTTAAAATAGCAGACTGGGTTATTATGTGTTCACTGTTTCATCCTACTCTTATCAAGTTTATGTCTAAAACAAGGATCTTGTTCTAGTGGGTAGGTGGAATTCAGATAACAGGGATCTCCAAAAGAAATTAGGGAATATTTTAATATAGGTGGGTGATCTGATCCCTGCAAACAAGATGTAGATGAAAGAACCTGATCCAGTCATGGGCAAATCTTAGAGCTTGGTCAGTGCTGGCAGCAGGTAAGATTTGCAGCACAGCTTGGCTGTGGATAACCCTGCAGGATAAGGGGAAAGGGACAGGATTTACCTTTGCAGGAGGAGTTGTGATAAACTTATGAGCTTGTTGTGTTGTGGGGGGAGATGCACCAGGCTTTGAGATTCAGCCTGACCTTACCTGGGCAGTGGTGCCTGGCTGTGCCTGTGACCTGCTCCCAGCAGCAGTGCAGTCACCCCAGGTTATCCACTCACTGCTGCCAGAGAACAATGCACACTGCAGTGTCTTCACCAAGGGAAGCAGCATGCCCTCGAGCTGGGATTGAGGATCCCCTCCTTTCCAGCTCCCAGGATGACTTCTGTCATCGTCTTGGGCAGGTCAGATAATCCCCTGACTTTGGTTCCTTTGCTTGCAGGTGGCAATGCCGTTAACTCAAAAGGTACCACAGCTCCTTGTGATGCTTGTGCTCCACAGTCAGTATTTATTAGAATCTCTGACTCTTCTGACAGTGAATGTAATGCTCCCACGAGCATCATTTAGTATTTCAGCTTCCAGAATCAGGCAACTTTGGCTGACTTCTGACACTATTTTTGTGAAGATGTGTGAACTCCTCCCCCCTTTCCAAGTGACCATTCTGGGGAGGAGGAGGGGCTGCATTGCCTGGGCAGTTGGACTGCAATACCTGCTTCAGTATTTGTAGAATAGAACCCTAGTCCTGGCAGTTGTAAATTATTTTCTTGAAACATAGAATCAGCCCTCCACCATAAAGCCTTACTTAGAGATGCTTTTGGGAGAACTTTAAACCAGTAATGAACACAGCCTTGTATATAGAAAGGTATATAAATTTCTTCCAAGAATGTAAATATTCCTAGCTGTAACTACATTAATTCTTACCCTAGTTTTTTATAGAGAAATGCTTGTTATTTGTAAAATTCAGAATAAAATCGTATCTGGAATTATCTTTAAAATGAAGCATTCTTTTTTTTTTTTCCACATCTTCATGTTTAGAAATGTATCCCAGAATCTACTGAAGGGCTGTTGGTGTGAGGTTTCATTGTTTAACAGCCAGTCTGAGATCTCTTGGACTGTTGGTGTACTGTATCTTTGTGTAAGGAGTCACTGTGTACATCCAAATAGCAACAGTCCTGCAGCCCCAGGGGCAGCCCAGAGCCTGGCCAGAGCTGCCAGCAGCACTTGTGCAATCCAGATGTGCTGCTGGGATTCCAGGCTGAGCCTTCCTCTTGCTGTTCCCATCCCTCACAAAAAAAAAAAAAAAAAAAAAAAAAAAAAAAAAAAAAAAAAAAAACCTTTTTAAGACGCACGACCAGCAGGTTGAGGGAGCGAATTCTGCCCCTCTGCTCTTGTGAGACCCAACCTGCAGAGCCACCTCCAGCTCTGGGGTCCAACATCAGGACATGGAGCTGCTGGAGCAAACCCAGAGGAGGCCACGGAGCTGCTCCCAGGGCTGGAGCCCCTCTGCTCTGGAGCCAGGCTGGGAGAGCTGGGGGGGGTTCACCTGGAGGAGAGAAGGCTCCAGGGAGACCTGAGAGCCCCTTCCAGGGCCTAAAGGAGCTCCAGGAGAGCTGGAGAGGGACTGGGGACAAGGGATGGAGGGACAGGACACAGGGAATGTCTTCCCACTGACAGAGGGCAGGGTTAGATTAGAGACTGAGAAGAAATTCTTGGCTGTGGAGGTTCCTGGGTCCTGCCAAGTGCTCCTGAGAGCCCCAGCTCTTCTCCCCGTGGCTGTGCTGGTGTTGGGAGGCTCTTTCTCTGTCAGAGTCTGGCTAGAAGTGAGACTTCCTGAAGCATCTTAATTGTGACCATCTGGAGGGTTCTTTTCCCCTGGGGTGGACCAAGTTAATTTCCTTTTGATTTATTCGTTAATTGTCCTTAGCCATCAGAACTCTTAGTGCTCCATTAGCTTTTCTCAGGCCACCAGAGTCCATGTGACAGCTGGGTTGGCTCAGAGAGCTCTCCTGTTGCAGGACTGCTCTCCCAGGAAGAAAGTCCCTCCCGTTACCCCAAGCGCTTCCACTTCAAGAGGTAAATCACTGTGTGGGAGCTACAGGGGCTCACAGAATCGTTCAGGTGGGAAAAGCCTTCTAAAATCATCGCGTCCGGCTGTCAGCCCGGCACTGCCAAGCCCACCACTAACCCAAGTCCCCAGATAACACATCTACACGTGTGTTAAAGCCCTCCGGTGCTTTCGGTGACGAGCTGAAGCTCCTCTTCACCTGTCCTGCAGCAGGTGAGGGAGGTGAGGAGCATCCCGGTGGGGCGCCTGGGAGGGGATGAACTCGCTGTGAGATGCGGGCTGGGGAAGGGGCTTTGCCCGCAGCCCGAGCGTCCCCCGGCTCCGGGCCGGTTCCCCCCGGCTCCCCCCGCCCCGGGCTTCCCCCAGCCCCTTCCCGGGGCC